CTGGACTTCTCCCACGAACAAAGTCGTGGCCCCCGCAATCAAGTCCCCTCACGCGGTTTTGATGTCCGCATTCACACGTCTTTTCTCCGCTCAATTCACGTGGGCGTGGCCCCACTAATCTCGCGGCTTCACAGAAACTAACTAAAAACCCTTCATTAGTGCCAAAGCTCCTCAACCGTTTAAATGTTAATTGTTTGATTTTTTTTTTCAAATCTAGAGAACTCCACCGCACAACTATGCATTTGGTTATAAAACCAGTCGGATTTGTGTCATACAAATTTTATTAGCTACTACGATAATCAGATGACCAACTGTTCATGAATTGCAGTATGCCAGCTAGGTGGCATGTCATTAATTCTTTCCACTCTTATCCATACTGTTATTAGAAGAAGCTCACATTTCTACTTGTGTGAGCTTCAAGCTCTGGACTTCCAAAATGCCCTCATATTTGCAAAAATATGACCATACATGAAAATATTGCAAAAAACGGTCACACGTCGAAACATTGCCAAAAATGCCTTCACTTGAACTGTAATGAACCATCAATTCTATTAGAAATTTGAATCTAACATTCGCCAGTTCCTGTTCCGCAGTGTCATGCATGAGTCGGGTCCACTGAATGAAATACTCGATTTACAGAATAAACTGCAACCGACTGCAGCAATTTCTCTCTACAAGTAAAAACCTAATCACTTATCCGGCAATCACGCTACTAATAAGATAACGAAAATAGAATTAAGCTGCAATATTTACTGGTATACCTTAATTTCCTAGCAACAAAAAAAAAAAAAAATCCAACAAAAAAAAAAAAAAACACTCCTTAGTTTCCTCTAACTTGAGCATGTTAATTACTACAAATAAATATGCTTAGTTCGACATTTTGAATTGAGCGGCAAATCATAGGCCCAAAAGTTTTCAATCTATGCTGCTCTCAGGATAATGAAAACTCCATCAGAAGTCAAGCGCTATTAATGTTTCAAAGCTGGAATGAGCATCCCAGAGGACGGAAGCGAATGAGCGCCGCGTCGGGTTTTCGATCCCGCGCAGTGAGCCTCCTGATGATATTTCTGCAGATGGAACATGCGTGGCGCTGCTGCAGAAGTACAAGCTGAATAAGGGGAATGAAGGGTTTAATTGCGGATACACTCCATGTACTTATCACTTTTGTTGTGTTTTTATTAGCACACACGCCTATGCTCACGCTGATGGTTTTCACATTCCAGACATTTGGAAGAAGAACGCTCTCGCCATTTTGATTCCCATTAAGCCATTTAAAACTAGTAAACATGAATCATCAGCATGACCAGTGATGTATGTGCTACTATGATCATAGCATTAACGAGTAAATAGCTAAAGGGAAAATTTTGCCAAAATAGACCATTTTTATTAAAATATACGAGCCGAAATAGACCACTTTGAAAAATAATTAGCAAAATAGCACCTCTTTATAAAAAAAAAGGTCGATTTGAAAAACAAAGGCCTCAGAAACATACGGGCACTACTAGTCCCGCTATTTTTAGAGCCAACTAATCACGGATTAGCTGACTCAGAAAACATTTACAGGACTCGTACAGTGGACTCTACGAAAACATACAAGGACTCAGAAAACAACAGGATTAGTGAATTAGAAAATTTCACTAATCCCCGCCCTTTTTTTTTTTGATTAAAACATACGGACTACTAGTCCTGTAGCTATTTTCTTGAGCTGTTTTTGCAAAATAGACCTCTTTGCGTCTGATGGCCAAAAAGAGGCTCTATTTTGCTAATTTTAGCAACTCACAAAAAACAAAAAAACCAACAACCCAGCCCAAAACACGCGTAAGTGGTGCCATCTGCAATTTTAACCCTAAACAGATAAGTGACCAATTCTTACCACAGCTAACCGGAAAGGGAGAGCCTATCACCAGTGCCGTCGTCCAGGTACAGCTTCTGCCACTTGGTAGCTGGGAGTAGATGTTTCAATGGACCAGCGCTTGCCACAGTTGGCCGAAACCACAACTAAATGACGAAAAATACAACGCCCCAGAAATAATTAAAAACACAAAAAACAAAAAAAGCCCAAACAAAGCCCAATAAAAATGATAACAAACACTAAAAAAACAATTTCAAAAATTCCCTTCTCTACGTAATAAGATAAAATAGAACAGTAAACGCTAATGCATAACGTTGATAAAGTGTTCTGAGGAAAGGTTCGACCTCATGGTTGATTTTTCTGCAGTGGGGGGAGGTGAAAAGAGGAGTGCTGCCATGGTTTCCATTATGTATAAATAGGGTTGTTTTGCTTAAAAGTTCAACCTTCTCAACTATATCAACAATCATATCTTATGGAAAACAGTTAAGTTGTAACCAACAGGTGCTAAACAGCAAAAGGCGTTTCACTGAGAAAAAGCACACACAGAGACGAAGCTAGAGGCCTAAGGGCATGGATATTCAAAAGAACTAAATCATGACATATTTGAGAATACTTCTGAATCTCTGATCAGCCACTGTTGAACAACAATAGGAAAATGATTCACGCAAGAGTTGTACTCACAAGTTGTCATCAGAGTTCGATGTTCGGTCGGATTGCAGCATTCTTCTCCTCCGTAAGCCCTGAAATTAAACCAATTGTCTGGGTAAGCATAAAAAAGAACCTCAATTTTCATTATATGCTGTATGGAATAATTGGAAATATGCTGGATAAAAAAAATTATCCATAAAGGAAGTTCAATTATAGCCACAGTATGCAGAAAACAACTATTCCTTGCAAAGCCCAGTATGCCAAACAGAATACAAAAGGTCTCCAACGTAATTACGACATTCTCTAAGACTCCTTGCAAAGCCCAGTATGCCAAACAGAATACAAAAGGTCTCCAACGTAATTACGACATTCTCTAAGACTAAACTAACTTGATTTCATACTACATATGCTAATATTAGAATATTCTAATCTTCAAAAGACAGATATTTGCAGCCACTGAGTAACAATTAAGTAAATATGGAAATCTGCAATCTATTTTCAAGATCCATTTTGGCATTATGTAGGAAAAAGATATGTGCATGCCTATTTTTTGGACTTTCCTATCCATGGATATAAGCAATCTCACTGGCTAGCGCAATTTATTAAATCTACATTTGAATCACCTGTTATTGTCTCACACAATAAGTTATTGCTGTAAAATTGATCAGAGAATGCATATTAATAAAAACATATGAGGAAAAAAAGTATGATCAACCTCGAAAATGAAACAACAAGATATGGCATCCCCCTATACCGACACTACATTGGGCATACTAAAGATGGCCCTTATGGATCAAGAAAGGATCTCCACAAAGCAACATTAAAAGGGTTAAAAGAGAAATAAAACAATTACTGTAGCAAAAGAGTTTAAATACTCACATTGCCAAATTCCCATGAAGCGTTCCCACAGGAAAATCCCTCATCACATCCTCCAGGAAACGGAGATGAAGGATTAAGCAGTGACACATACAACTGACAGCGAGATCTGATCCACCGTATTACCTGCCTCTTTAGAAAACTAAGAAAAACCCAGTAGCATGCATGAGACCTTCAAATAATGGATTCAATAAGAAGTCGGGAACATGGTACACTATAGCGAACTACGACCCGGCTTTAATCATCCAAGATTCGCGTGGAACACGACCCGATTCAACAACTACAGTGACCAGATTTAGAATTCAAAAACCAATTAAAATGTCGGGGAAAAAGCTCTTTTTAAAAGAATAAACAACAAAAACGTAGGAAATTAAGCATACAAATTATGCACATCTTAATTGCAACTTGATTCTCAAGGTTCTATTACCATTTCTGATATCAACTAGCATTTAAGAACCAAACCTAAAGCATACCATGTTTCCTGGCGTACCATGTAAGCCTACCCCCTCGTACCTGATTCCTGTTGAGTGGTGTACCATGTTCCCGTACACGTCCTGTGAACCGGAACAAACCAGGTTCCATGCAATTCAAAAGAACCTGACAAGCCTCTTTAACAAACTACATTTCATCTTCAAACTATGTATCCTCCTTAGTTCCATCTACATTCATGCATAAACCACTCTTAAGATGGCGGAGACAAGCATAACATGATCCCATTAGCAAAGCACATGATGAAACCAAATTTTGCATCAACCTCAGCTTTAATTAATAACACAGACACACTTTAATTCACACTGCTAATTCAAAATAGCCACAGAGCCTAAAAAATCCTCTCGAACAAAAGAAACAAAAACAAATGCACAAACCCAGCACAATCTTTAAATTCAAAACAAAAACAAGCAAGCACACCCAATTGCATAACTACGACCTCATATACCAAAATTGAAATGAATTAATAGATATAATATTTGAATCAAGAGTTTGATCTAGATTGAACAAAGTAAGATTGATTAAACATGCACGCTACAATGTTGATACGTGCAACTGATCTTAAGAAAAAATTAAGATGAAAACCCTAATTTCTTCAACTCAAACATAAATCCCTAAGAATTAATCACGGTTGCTCTGATACCACTTGTTGTTCTATAAACTCTTTAATTCATACAATATAGATCTAGGGTTTACAACGAAAATCAAGAACAAACCCTAGAAATATAATTAAGGATCATGATTAATTCAAAGAGGAGATTAACAAGAAGAATAAATTAAAGCATACCTAAAATCCATGAAGAAATTCTGAATTAGGGTTTGAGATCTTCTAATCTAAAGGGTCTCTCATGTTGTTTCTCTCTAGATGGGGATTAAGAAAACAAAGAATGTAACCCTTAGATTAGGGAACATAACCCCTTTATATAGATATTATAATTTTCTAATTTAGCCCCTCATAAAATTAGAATTGTAATCTGGTATCTGCACAATTAGCCCATAATAAACTAAATACCCATTAACCCAATTAAATGATTGATCACTTTATGCGGGCTAACTTTAAAGATAGCATTACACAATAATTTAACATAAGTGCCCATAATTAGATTTAATCCAACTCAAAGATTTTAATGATATAACATAATTGCAGAATTAAGAAAAGAACCATGAGAATGGCTTTTGCGGCTATATGATGAATGACAGAACATAATGTGAAGGAACAAAAGTAACCATTACAGAGAAGAGCAAGACTAAGTAGTCAGAAAATAACCAGCGGTTGAACCACTGTTAAAAAAGAACGCATTACATTACTCATTATTTCGCATTATGTAATCTAACACACCTTAAACATTATGTTACCTTTTAAAATAACTCAGAACATCATAACTCTACGTCATTACAGAGTAACATGTATTACTTTAATGTAACATACGATTGCTTCAATTTAACAATTGTTTTTTTAAATATAACTTACATCATTTCAATCCAAGTTACCATAGAAGCATGAGTACTTTCTTTCTTAAAATTTGACTTAATTAAGTAATTACATTCGAATTGTCTGTCAAGTTATGACATCATTATATGTAATTGTGAAATTATGAACGTGTCTAATAAAATGAATGTAAAATTATAAATAACATGTAAATTGCGGTTATATATTTGAATATTCTATTGTGATACTTGTGGGTAAATGTGCATCGTTTGTTAGATTTAAAAAAATTTTGTTAAATTATTTTTTTGTATTTTGATATTCTTTTCCTAATTTTTACAAGGAACATCTTTTACATTATTAAATTAAATAATGAGAAAATATGTAAACTACATATCATGCATTATGCTCTAAGCCATCAAGAGACCTTAAGTTATACATTATCATATATTTCAACATTGCTTAGAACTTAGGTCGTGTTATCTTTGATTTTTATTTTTTTAAACAAAGTGAACTAAATAATTTTCTATAAAATCATTGACAACCTAGGTGATCAAGCAATAATTTTCTATAAAATCATGCGTGTCAAACATAGTAAAGTATAAAGAAAAGATGAAATCTAACTTAAATGTAACTAAAAGAAATGCTACGCGTAGATATTGCGAATAAATTTATTACAAAGCCTATAAGCACATTATTCTTATTTTAGAGTCACACCCCCACTAACTATATGCTACTTATCATAACAAGAAATTAAACTAAATAATTAAATAGCAAAATCAATGTGTAGTCATTTTAGACTCAAAATAGAAATTAATTATTTATTAACTAGTGATGGAAAACCATATAGTTTTGTAAATATTTTCTACTCTATTTTGCACACTTAATATTTTAATAAAAATGAGGGAGGACCAAATCCTTGCATATATAAAAAAAATATCAGATGATATATTCAAATGATTTGTAGACTATAAATAATTATTATGCCAAATATAATAAAATAATTTAGTTATTTCAGTTTCAAAAGACAAATCATTTATCGGTGTTTTGAACTGTAATTACAGAATCTGTAAGGTTTTTCTGGAAAAAAATTAGATCATGTATTATTCTGCAATTCTGAAACTATGTGGACTTTAGTATAAAGTATAAAAATTAAACCTAGTTCCTAAAATTCATAATTTGCAAGGAGCTATATGAACAAGCATTACTGACATAAATTGAAATGTGTCTTACATAATACACAACCCGAGAGTCGAGACTAATGAATCACATGCATTGAAGAGGCCATGGTAACAATTTATTACAATTATATACTGACTTGTTTCTGGGGTCGGGTTCGAACCCGATTGGAATCAATATTTCACCTCTTTCTCTCGCTCCGTCTCTCTCTCTCTCTCTCTCAAACTCCCGCTCTCGTCGCCCTTTTCTCCCTCTGTCTTCTCCTCCAAACCCTAGAACCCAATGTTGCGGGAAAGGAGAAGGTCGTCGGAGATCTGGGGTCTCAGTCTACGCCGACGACGGACGAGGCATCGACGAGCGGATATCGGGCGAGCAGGTCGCCATTGTCGACGCCGAGGAGATCGCCGTTTCCAAGATTGCCGCCGTGGCCAGCGAGATCGCCTCAGGTATACTCTTCAAATGCTTCTGATACTGGATTTAATTTTCTTCTTCGCTTGGCATCTTGAAAATCTTCTTCAAGATGCCAAGCGAAGAAGAAAATTAAATCCAGTATCAGAATCATTTGAAGAGTATACCTGAGGCGATCTCGCTGGCCACGGCGGCAATCTTGGAAACGGTGATCTCCTCGGCGTCGACAATGGCGACCTGCTCGCCCGATATCCGCTCGTCGATGCCTCGTCCGTCGTCGGCGTAGACTGAGACCCCAGATCTCCGACGACCTTCTCCTTTCCCACGACATTGGGTTCTAGGGTTTGGAGGAGAAGGCAGAGGGAGAAAAGGGCGACGAGAGCGGGAGTTTGAGAGAGAGAGAGAGAGAGACGGAGCGAGAGAAAGAGGTGAAATATTGATTCCAATCGGGTTCGAACCTGACCCCAGAAACAAGTCAGTATATAATTGTAATAAATTGTTGCCATAGCCTCTTCAATGCATGTGATTCCTTAGTCTCGACTCTCGGGTTATGTATTATGTAAGACACATTTCAATTTATGTCAGTAGTGCTTGTTCATATAGCTCCTTGCAAATTATGAATTTTAGAAACTAGGTTCAATTTTTATACTTTATAGTAAAGTCCACATAGTTTCAGAATTGCAGAAAAATACATAATACAATTTTATAATTTTTTATTTTTTTTTCAGAAAAAACCCTTTAGATTCTATAATTACAGTTCAAACCACCAATAAATGATTTGTTTGTAGAAACTAAAATAACTAAATTTTTTATTATATTTGACATAATAATTATTTATAGTCTACAAATCATTTGAAGATATCATCTGATATATATTTTTCATATATGCAAGGATTTGGTCCTCCCTCATTTTTATTAAAATATTAAGTGTGAAAATAGAGTAGAAAATATTTATAAAACTATATGGCTTTCCATCACTAGTAAATAAATAATTAAATAATTAATTTCTATTTTGAGTCTAAAATGACTGCACATTGATTTTGTTATTTAATTATTTAGTTTATTTCCAGTTATGATAAGTAGCATATAGTTAGTGGGGGTGTGACTCTAAAATAAGAATAATGTGCTTATAAGCTTTGTAATAAATTTATTCGCAATATCTACGAGTAGCATTTCTTTTAGTCACATTTAAGTTAGATTTCATCTTTTCTTTATACTTTACTGTGTTTGACACACATGATTTTATGGAAAACTATTACTTGATCACCTAGGTTGTCAAGCAATAAGAGAGACTGTGCATGAAGACGACTCCTATTTAAAATGTGATTTATAAGCATGCTTTCATAGCATGACTATGCCCTCAATATTGATATCCCGATGTGAGGTTTTCCTTGGTTATTACTATTGTAGCATCAACTAGACGATGTACCCATCTTGATTGGACATGTTCTGGGTTATGATTATTTTTCATAGTTTTACGGAAGTCGTTCCACGGTAACTCTGTGGTTAGTGCACAATATTTTATGCACATTCACTTAAATTAAATCGACAAATATAAAATTTATAGAGGAATTGGACGGAGAATATTTAAAGTATATAAATGGGCTCATGCGCATTCCTGATATCTCGAGTTATATATATACAAGGGCCAAGGGCCAAGGCCCAAGAGCCAATACATCTCACAAACCACAAATATGGGATATTTTTTCAGTTAACAGCCAATGTTAAACAATATGATGTTCTGGTAATTATATTATTTAATAAACAGCTTACTATCCATTAAGTCCAGAAGTGGCACCAAAACGCCATCTTTTTCTTTTTGGGATTTTGAGGAAAATAATCTTTAAGTTGGGGAAAAAGACTAGATGGATACATTACTTCTGAAGCCAAGCCCTTCTTCTAGACTTACAACATCTGATATAAACTAGTGCATCAACTCATGTTATCATTCAAATATGCTTTCAACCCAAGGTAATATCCTCAATACTAAGTACTCGCTTGCTTGACTGACAAATTGAGACATATTGAAATAAGAAGTTGCTCATCGCAAATGCATGTAACTAAACCATAGCATCTTAACATATTCCAAACCATAAATAGCAACTCCAATCCTTCATAACAAGTTTACTTTCATGACAATTATAAGAGCAAAAATACTTTATCGGTGAGAATATCGGACAATTGAGATGCAACATGTGAATGAGTGCAGCATAAATGAGTGCATTATAAAACATTCTGGTATCTACACAATTAGCCCATAATAAACTAAATACCCATTAACCCAATTAAATGATTGATCACTTTATGCGGGCTAACTTTAAAGATAGCATTACACAATAATTTAACATAAGTGCCCATAATTAGATTTAATCCAACTCAAAGATTTTAATGATATAACATAATTGCAGAATTAAGAAAAGAACCATGAGAATGGCTTTTGCGGCTATATGATGAATGACAGAACATAATGTGAAGGAACAAAAGTAACCATTACAGAGAAGAGCAAGACTAAGTAGTCAGAAAATAACCAGCGGTTGAACCACTGTTAAAAAAGAACGCATTACATTACTCATTATTTCGCATTATGTAATCTAACACACCTTAAACATTATGTTACCTTTTAAAATAACTCAGAACATCATAACTCTACGTCATTACAGAGTAACATGTATTACTTTAATGTAACATACGATTGCTTCAATTTAACAATTGTTTTTTTAAATATAACTTACATCATTTCAATCCAAGTTACCATAGAA